GGGGAGGGGGGAAGTTGGGGAGGCCGAGGAAGAAGGTTGATGGTGGGGAGGGGGATGGGGGAGGGGAGGAGCCGAAGAAGAAGAAAAAGAAGAAGAAGGTTGATGGGGGTGGGGATGATGCTAGTACTGTGCGGAGTGGATGAGGGCGAGGGGTTTGATGGATATCTGCTGCTGGAATGGTGCTGTGGGACTAAGATCGCGGATGGCAGCGGTCGCGATGGATGCGCAAGGCATACGAGCAGTTACATCGCGGCTGGGTCGAGGATATGTCTGAAAAGCCATTGAGAGTCATCAACCCATCACTATCGAGCGGAAGAGAATCGTCGCGTTACCAGCGAGCATACGGCAACTCAATGAGTAGTGGTCAGGATTTGTGCATTACTAGGAGTACGGTCATTGCGGATTGTGCTGGTTTACTGGCGTTCATAATGGATACCCACCGAGGTCTTTAGAGCTTCTACGAAAAGAACCAAATTCCATCGATTTCTAATACAACTTCCAGCTCGGTGGTCTTATAGTCGCAATGTTGCGCATCTCTTCTACGAAAGTGATCAAAGAGATAGGTATCCCGAGTCTACAGGAAGAATATACAGGGAAGGGTTACCCACATTAAGACCGCCGAAGCGAAGTTTAAGAGAGAGTTGGATTGGCGTCGTGCAATAATCATCAAGGCCATTACACTATGACTCAATCTGACGTGTTCTAGATGGGACTGAATAGATGCTGCAGAAGCATGCGGAGCTGCAGGGCTGGAAAAGAGTTTTGGGTTTGCGAGATCGGTGGTATGACCGAACGACGCAAGGACACATTCGTTTATTAGAGGGAGTACAGGGAGATGTAATTTAGGCACATTCATTCATTGGACGAGGTACAGGGAGACATAAGTTGGACACATACATTCAACAGCTGAAAAACATCAATATATGAACGTTGAAGGAGAGGTGTGTTTTCTGAAGTATCATTCGCAAGTCCTCCGGGGGTATCATTCGTCCTTTAACGACGCCAAACGCCTTCCCTACCAGCTCAATCGTGTATCGCGCTCTCCAAAAGTCCTTCAATTGCCCTCCCATGACATCGTACGTCTCTCATCTCCGCAACAGCTCAGCCCGCGCAGACGCCTGACTTCAAGAGAGACCACCTCATCAATAGCCAACATCAATCCAACTTGTCGAAAAGCTTGTAGCGCAAGCCTTCTCGCACACGCTCCCGCTTCGCATCCTCCGCGCTCTTGACCCTGTCCTTCTGACTCTCCTGGCCGCCATCCTTCACCTCGCCCTCAGCCCCAGAGCCCGCCCTCCAGACCGCCAGGTCGTCATCCGCAGCCTTGTAGACGGACGATACATCGGATTGATCGTGGTACTTGGGATCGGGCTTGTCGGGTACTGTGTGTCCAAAGAACTCGAATACGTCGCGCCGAAAGGCGGGATCTTGGTGAAGGACGTAACCGCCGAACCAGTCGGATTTGAGAGGCTGTGTCGCGGTGGCCTGCTTCTGACCTTGGAAGGCGACGTTGGCCGCCGAGCGCTTTTTGGACGCGACGGAGGTAGGTGTCGGCGGTATATAGGCGCTAGGACTGGGGGAGGGCATGGGCGTGTAGCTGGGGGTGAAGGTGTGCTGCATGTTGGCTGAGGGCTGCATTGGTTGCTGCGAGCGTTGAGTGTGAGGAGGTGGAGGTGGAGCGGACATGTCGTTGGTCTCGTTGGTGGCCTTGGTGACAGAAGAAGCTGGTTGCGATGGGCGTGGGGTGTCAGGAGGTGGAGCGGACATGTCGTTGGTCGTGTTGATGGCCTTGGTGACAGAAGAAGCTGAGAGTGTTTAGTTTTGACGTGAAGGTGCTAGATGGGGAAAGACATCTCACCTTCACTACCCACCTTGATGCCTAACAGAAAGAGCACTCCCTCGTGCGCGAATTGCGAAGCGGTGCTTCGTACCAGCGGCGTGATCTGTTCGACCCAGGCGGAAACACTCTCGCCGCTTGCTTTCGCAGCTTTAGCTCCTTCTATGAGTTCCTTGTAGCATCCCCAGTCGGGGCCGAGATCAGCTCGTAGAGCGAAAAGGAGGAGGTCCAGATTCCCTAGCTTAGCCGTCGCTGTAGTCTTTCGCTGTTGGCGGCGTGTCATTGTGGACATTCTAGAGTAGAGTAGCTAGGGGAGTGAAGCGGAGGGCGGAGGACCTGGGAGTGAGAGGTCGGGGAGTATATACGGCGCTAAACGTGCCCAGCATCGACAATGATTTCTGCTTCCTATTGTGATATCATCCGCCGCATCGTAATAGTGAAATGAAGAAGTGCGATACAGAATTCGAGCACCTAAGTTGTTCCAGGGTACGATGGCCGCTGTACAATGACGACGCAAAGATCTGTGAAAGACGCCAGGCTGCCGCATCGCCCAGCATGGAATTGCCCATGTAGTCTCTCGCGCATTGCCTGCATACCATCTCTTCACAAACAGATAACGATCTGGGTCAGTCCAAAGTGCAGACTCAGCACCATCACCCAACCCGCCTCCGCAACCCAACTCGTCTTCGTTTCGTTACCCGTCGCTCACGCGTAGGCGCGCTCGCTCGACGTCGCACACCGTCAATCCAGAACATCGACACAAGCTAATACCACGAATGCAGACGCATCACATAGTTTTCGGGATACGGCCTCTTTTCAATATCGATTTCGACGCTCACATCGTTGCGCGTGCCCCCATCATCTGGTCTGATCGGTACATGAAGGACACCGGCCTGCACGTGATTTTGAAGCATGAGCTGGTCTTCAAATAACTGGTTGACTACTATAATCTGCAACGCGTACGTGGAGTGCGAGAGCAATAGCTTTCCGACTCTTTGATGCGACATCTGAATCGCGCCGGTGCCCGGGTAGTCTTCACAAGCATGGCCAGGTTGTTAGGGGAGTGATAGAGCGGAGACAGTGAGTCGAAGATATCGCGAACATCGACTTCCTTGGATTCCTGGGAGTCGATGAAGGGATACCCGCCAGAGTGTGCGGATCTCTCGTCGTTGATGTCGGAGGATGGAGGTTTGCCTGCGGGTGCTTGAAGTTCCGTTGGCGTCGGCAGTCGGAGAAATCTCGGCCGACGCGTTGGTCATGGCGTCTTCGTGCGGCGGCTTGGTTTTGGGCGCGATGACAACCATCCCACACCCTTTCACTCTTGCAAAGTGCCCGTCAACATTTTGGCGCGATGAACATTAAGCTACGATACGTCTTCGCAATATCCTGAAAAGACTTTCCGTCACAGCTCAGGAGTCAACAGTATCCGCCAGGCGCACCGCGGTGGTCGGCACTGGCAGAAGGGGCAAACATGCCAGACACAATGCTGACAACAAATGTAGCCATTATACCACTCACATGATTTCTTTTCTTTTCTGATATGCGGAAGCTATTAGAATTATCCTTCTTTGGCTGGAAAGTCAATTGCAAGGCTTCGAGTTTGCCTGGTAGACAACATTACGCTGTAGAGCCACTCAAAATTAGCGCATCGCAAACGAGACCCGGGATGAAGTTATTCGCCAGATGGCAAAATCGGCAGAGAATAGATATGCCTCCCGAGCACGATGCTACGAAGAGGTACGAAGACGATAAGCAATCGTCAGCTACCTGTCAATGATTTGGTACAGTACGCGTCATTATGTCCCTTGGAACCGTGCGACGACCGGACACATTCACTTTCCAGAGTTCATCGTTACAGGTTGGATGCCACGTGCTAGGCGAACGAATCTCTTCACACAAAGCTGAGTTTGCTGAACAGCTGACGGGCTCTCTCACTCCACGAACACCCTCCGCTTCTTTTTCCAATATTGCGAATATCGGTAATCATGCCGCTATTCGGATACGGAAACACCCCAAAACCAAGCGCCCAGGAAACCCAACAACCACAAGACATGAACGCCCAACGACTGAGGCATGAGAACCGTCGAAGATCCAGTGAGCGTCGGCGATCCGATGAGCGAAGCGTTCCGACACGCAGCAATGAGAGCGCCTCAACACCCAAGCGAAGCGATACTCCGACCCTCAGACAAGAAGACCCTCCGGCATCGCACAACCTGACGCGAGAACACATCCAAAAATGGAGGCAAGTACTAAACCGTCCCCTCCAACAACTATTCCATCTAACGGAAAACAGGAACTCCACGTACGAGATCAAGGCCACCTTCCCCTACGTCGACCTTTGGCCATGCATGTACTGCCTCAGTAACATCGACTTCCGCTACCGAGAACGATGTTCGCGTTTCCACTGCGACAACCCTGAGTGCGTCGGCCGCGGAAAGCTGCAGGTCACTTGTTTCTGGGATATAAAAGCAGGGATTAAGAGGAATGAGGATTAGCCGCGGCATGTTCTGGCTCGTTGTGGGGAGACTGGCCGTCCGGGACGATGCGATTAGGTCGGCTTGAGTGCGCCCATGGAAGCGCGTCGATGACTTCTAGACCATCGATCCAGGTACCGTGTGGCCAGAGCGATTCGTTCCAAGGCTCTGATGTGTCGACAAATATCACACTCAGCTCGCTGTCTTCTTCGTCTACCTCGGATTGTTCGCTGTCTATACCGGTTGGAGAAGCCGGCGATGTCGCGGGGTCCTGACGCAGGGTTGGCTGAACAAGCTCCGCATTCGCCATAGTCGGAGGAGAAGCTGCATCGGGGGACTTTTCACGCACTGTAGCCTCCGCGGCGGCCTCTGACACAACTTTGGAGACCGCGTTTTTGTCCGACTTAGCCACACCTTGCTCCCTTGTCCGCGATTGCGCCACCGGTTCGTCCTCGTCGTCTTCAGCCGCTGTTCCATCGCCCGTGATTGGTAACTTGACCAACACATTGTTCCGCTGCTTATCGATCTCCGCATTCATCAGATTCGCTAGTCGGTTATGGTCCTTCGAAATACGCGGAAAGTCCTCATTTACGAACGCTTGCATCGCCTCGGCCGAGGCTCGAGCTCGATCTCGACATGCCATGATGTCGCCAAAATACTCGCGGTAGACTGGACGCACGGCGGAAGGTAGCTTCTTCGTAGTACTGACAAAGATGGCTTGGACATGGTAGGGTATCAAAAAGGTGAAGCCTCTGGACGCGGATGAGCTGTAGTAGGTGTAGTCCGTCATGGTTGGGCTTTGAGCGTTCGGCTTGGTCGTTTGTTGAGCTTAGCAGCAAGTGTTTTTGGGGCGCAACACGCTAGAATTATAGAAGCTCGAGCATGCTCATACAAGGAATAGTCAGTGTAACTTAAGGTAACATCCATCACGGCGGCAACATTGCAGTGAATTAATTTGCAAGTGTTTCATTACCACAGTCAACCATGGTACTGCGATGACGCAGAGCGAGACGAGCCACTCATAACTTCCAAAATACATAACCACCACATACGCAAAAGATACTCCTCATCAAATAAGAGAGAACGCAATCCTTAGAGTTATCACCACAGTCAAGCGCCTGCAAGCCATCTAAACTTTCTAGAGTACCCATCAACGCACCGGCTGACAGATACAAAACACGCAACCACCCGTTTCTGACATCTCGTAAACCCCTTTTACGCCTTCGCAGCACCGAACCAGACCTGCAGCCTTACTTCTTCCGGGGATCAGCAACCTTGGCCTTGATGTATTGAGCCCCAATCATCGTGTCGTTCAGCATATCGAGAGCGCGGCCGACTTCCCCCGTCGGTATACCCACAAAAGCATAGCCCTGCTTGATGACGACCTTGTAGACAGCGAAGCCCTCGAACAGGGTGAGGATTTTGTGGTTTGTGACATCGTACGGCAGGTTTTCCAGTTTCAGGTCCGTGACATTCGTAGGCGGTAGAGGAGCTGGCGCAGGAATGGGAGGGGCGCTGGAAGAACCAAACTCAGCTTTCCTCTTTCTCTTGTCCTTGTCCGACAAGTCCACTTTGATGGTGCGACCTTGCCACTTGACACCGTTCTTGAACTGTGCGAGGATCGAATCTGCGTGTGCTTGCTGGATGGTGACGAAGCAGAACGTCTTGCCGCCTGGTAGTATGTTGACGTCGCGAATGGGAAAGTCCTTGAAAATCTCTCGCACCTCCTTCGATGACGTACCGACCTTAATTCCCTTGACGAAGAGCGATACGTCCGTGGCGCTGGGCTCATTGACAAGCAGCTTCTCCATTTCTTCATCAGGAACGCACCGAGCGTTGAGCGTGGCGTTCTTCCAGTAGGTACCCGCGTACTGTTGTACAATGGCGACTGCCATCCAAGGCTGTGCGAGCTGCAAAAGGCCGACTCCTGGGTCGGGCGTTTTGAGATGAAGGATATTGATGGGCTCGTTGTAGTCATAGTAGCTTGGGTTACGATGCTGACTCTTCTCGGTGGTCTCAGAGTACTGGTCTCGCACCGACCTGAACAACTCATTCATGTTGCTCATAGTGTGTTTGTCGGGGAGACCGGTAATCTCAACGGTGCTCGAGAGTATTTGGTGATCCCGGGCGTGGGCGAAGTCGGAATGGCGATTGGTGGCGAATTCGGGAATGGCTTCGTTCCAGAATGAAGTCGTGATCTTCTTGCCGGTTGCCCCGAAGTGGTGGCCTTTGTGGCCAATCTCGAATAAAGCGGCGAGTTTGGGGGCCTTGAAGACTATCCAGGCGGACTCGCCTCCTCCCGCTCGTGTGTACACTTCTTCGACTTCGTCTTCTTGCAAACGTAGCTCAGTGAAGACGTAGGAGGACTCGCAGTTGGGGGGAAGGTCGCTGACTAGTACTGTAGACGACATGGCTGAATTCGTGTTTCGAAGAAGTAGTTTGGGTATGTAGAAGCTGTTAATCACCTAGGCATAGACAAGTGTTGTTGCGCAGAATCTGTGATCCGAGTAGATGACCGAAAAGAGCAGATATATAAGGCGCTTGTGTAAAATGAAAAGTAGTAGGAGCCTGGAGTCGGAGTGTAGCCTTAAGTATTCATTCGGTCGAGTCGTGCAATGTTTGTCAAACCATACACGCCGTCACATGAGAAATAGCGCAAACAAGGCATTTGTATGCCCCGGAAATGTATTCAATTTAAGTGGATTCTAACGAGTGTGATAGGCATAAGCCTCAATGTCCAAAGCAGGGTCAACGGTAGAGTAGGCAGTCCTGAGCATCAGCCCTCACAAGTTCCACGCGCACTTACCCTGCCCGGTTGAACCAGAACAGCCCCCTGGTCCTCCAACACATCCGGTGTCGAAAAGACAGCGGGCACAATGATACTTTTCGTTGCATATCTTTTTGGATGCGCAGCTTCTTCCAGAATCGCACTGTGGCTGCCTCGGGTGCAAAGATAAAACCCCTGGCACATTTGCCTCGGATGTTTCGACGCCTGGGTCGCGTGCGACGATACCGTCCGGGACAGCCCAGAGCTGAGCTTCAGACGTGACAGTGCGTCCGTCACTGAGTTTCAGATTAGTTGTGTTTACTATAGTCTTCGGGAGAGAATTGCGAAGGGGAAAGCTTACACGCCTGGTGTGGCGGATCTCTTCGAGCCCACCTTAACAAGGAGCTCAGCGATTTGAGGCTCACTGAGCTGTACATAGTCCACCACCGTGTCATGTGCTGCGTTGAAGCTGCGAAGCACTCCATCGGCTCCAATGTCCATCAACTCGCCCTCGTTGAAGTTCGTGAGTGCTTCTTCAAGCGACTAGAGGCGCAATGTAAGTATGTGGCTGTTCGAATGTGATCTTTGAAGTGCCTACCGCATCGTTCGTGGTCGCTTCCGCTGCTAGCAAAAAGGTCGCACTCGCGGAAACGAAGATCGAGAACCTCATATTGAATTTACTGTATGATGAACAGGTCTTTTGAGTGTAAGATGTTGAACTGTAGTGTGCTGAGAGGATATTCGTGTTGTCTGCGAGAGGTAGATGCTTTATAGGCCACTGTTGGACCTCTTCTCAATACTTTCAAGGCGTTAACGTACATGTTTAGGTACCATCACATGACTGCGAGGCTGATATATTGCAATGCTGCGTCATGCAGGATGCTGTTGGTCAGCACTGCCTGAGTGTGCCGTCTATAAGTACGCCCCGCATCTCAACCTTTGCGCACTGCATCTTCTTCTCGCAGACACCACATCGCCTGCTGCCACCACTCTATTTAACCCTCTACCCGAGGTTGCGTTTAATAACATACGAAGCCAGCGCTGCTCGCCTGAATCCTACTTCCCATTGTAAACGAATCAACGATGTCCTCTTCTCCCTCGCCAATGCCGCGGAGCCAGAAAGGATTCAACGCCAACAACGAGGAACCTTCAACCGCAGACCCGAATCAAAACGGAAGCGGCATAAAGCAGGCCGCCAATTCGACCGAAGCGAGAGTCAAGACAGACCCGCTGGAGATCTTCGTCGACTCTATGCGAGAATGCGAGCACGGCCATCACTTCCACATGATCTGCAGAGACGGAGTGATGAGAGTCATCGAATACCTACCCGGGCCGCCCGACCAGGTTACACGAACAAACATCTTTGATGCAAAGCCCATGTCGCCAGAGCTCATCAAATCATGGTTGGACAGAGGTCCTTGGAGCCAGGAGAAAGAGGATAGGTTCCGCGGGATTGATGGCAGAACGGTTCCACAGGAGTAAGTCGCACCTGTCATCGCACGCTTATTGAGTAGACGAAGTTTTAGCTGACTTAATGCTACGATTTATAGGCAGTGGTTGACCCCTCCTGTGGGGCTGATTCCATCCTTCGGCACAAAGAACGAGCGCGACGAAGAGATGAGGAAGCACCGCGAGGAAAGGGCGGAGTTGGAACGCAAGATCACGAGTGGCGAAGTCGAGCGGGAACCAGCGATAGCCTGCATGGCCATCCAAAGCAACTACGACCTGAGTCCTCGTTAGGATGTAGCCAGGACTGTCTGCAGGGCGTACATCCTGTTGGTGCGAGGGTCTCTTTCAGTGGCTTCGGATCTGGGGGGCAATATCAGCCAAGGGTTCAAGATGTCGGTATCGGGTACCCTGTTTGGACAGCTGAGTATACGTAAATGTAACTGTCGTTGCCGAATGAGGATGCTGATCGTATCGTAACCATGTCCAAGTGACATGAATTTATATTATGCGACCATACAGAAGACTAGAAAGCATCACGGGGCAACGCAGCTCCATCCTCTTGGGAGGCTTGTGACCGAGGGACGGCTGCAACGACATGCGCATTGGATGGTATCTTCGTAGCGGCCGTGCACGGGTGGCGATGCGCACCGCAACATGGGTGTGTGTTGGACACAACAAGTAATCATCCGCCACTGAACAATCAGCAGTACTCTTCAAGTGTCCTTGGAGACAAGATCCAGCGTGAGAGTAGGAAGAAGGTCGGATTCGCGAACGGGCAATGCCGCTCAGGATGCAGTATTCCATCCGTGAGGTTGCAGCAAACTTCGCGCCCCGCGGGAAGCCGGGTTCATGCGCCCCACTCCCCGGATCCTGTCTACCCCCGTTCAGGAAAAGCGGTGATACAATAAGAGTGAATGAGCTAGGAATCCAGATCGCATGAAGACCTCGACGAATTTGGTTCAAGACTATAGACTCTACTAGGTAGCACATGTTTTCAAGACTGTCCATAAATCGGGCGCGACCCTGCGAAGTTACAACATTGACGCAAAGGATCAGATTACACAACCAACCCCTTGTATTACGCCCTGCAGACAACATCTAGACACCGGCCTGGAAACGCCGATGATCGTCCTTCTCACTCCCGCGGAAGCCCCACCATACCAAAACTCTCTTCCCACAACCTCTCTTCACCCTCCTCATCATACGCCCACGGCGCATACCCCTCATTAGCACTCTCATACATACCCTCCTTCCTCGCCTCCTCCTCTCTTGTCCCCATCTCCGCCAAACTAGCCAAATACCTCCCACCCTTGTCCTTCCACTCCCTACCCACCGCAGCGTAAACCTGCGTCGCAGCCCCCTGCTCCGCACTCTTGAACGTCCGCAGTATCTCCGGGTCACCAAACATCGCCTGTTTGGTCTCTTCAGACACATGCACCCCGAGACCAGATCCCTCGATGATACCGCCTGGATGCACAGACGTAGCGTGTAAATGGCGGGATGAGTAGTGGCGCTCGATGGAGTTTGCGAACCAGATGTTTGCTGTTTTGGCTTGGCCGTAGGCGTTCCATGGTTCGTAGGGCGTGCTTTCGTAGTTGTAGTCGGAGAGGTGCACGGTGGACCAGATGTGCGCCATGCTGGAGAGGCTGACGTAGCGGCTGGGGTACTCGGGGGTTGCGGACGCGAGGAGAGCGTCTTTGAGGAGGTGGAAGAGGAGAAAGTGGCCGAGGTGGTTGGTGCCGAATTGGGTTTCGTAGCCGTCTTTGGTCTTGCCGTATGGTGTGGCCATTACGCCTGCATTGCCGATGACTACGTTGAGCTTTCCGCCGGTCTTGGTGAGAATCTCTTTGGCGGCCTTGCGGATGCTGTCGAAGCTGTCCAGTTCCATTTCGATCAGATCAATCTTCCCAGCTCCATCGTGTTTCTCTGCGAAGATTTCGTCGACTACAGCTTGGCCTTTTGGTATGTTGCGCACGGTTCCGATGACGTGGGCGCCGGTTGTGTGCAGCGAACGAAGGGTCTCGATACCTAGACCGGAAGACACTCCTGTGATAAGGAAGACTTTGTCGTTCAACTTGCCGGTCAAACCCTCGTCGCGAATGACTTGGAGGGCTGTAGGACGAGCGTCGCCTGCGCCACGGAGATTCGCGATCTTGTGAAGCTCGGCATATTGGGCCATTGTTGGAATGACAGTAATTTGGGTATTGCTACCGGACGTGATAAAGTGCTTCTTGGCTAAGTCGAAGGTAACGGATGTTGATGAAGTGTGTCTTGTATGATGAGCTGTAAATTTGGGCGTTTTCAAAAGCTCTTCTTTGCTATATAAATACCACGGTCTGTGGAAGGCATCTGGTAACACATGTTAGCATCAGCTTTTCTTCGTTTATCTCCACGTTCGTCTCTTAACTCCATCGCATAAAGGCCCGAATGCGTCTTGCCTCATGGACATATTTTGGTCCGTCTCCGGACGGCGAGGATGATGGTGGATTATTTGACCCCGTAGATGCAAGATGCGCCCCATTGCCCAGGCTGAACTGGCCTTCCCACTTAGAGTAACACGGTGTATACGGCGTTTTCGAGGGTTGGACGATATGTTGCGGTTGCTTGGAAGCGATGACGTCGAAGCGAGCGAATCGCGAGTTAATGCGAGTTTCATCCGAAGCCACACGTGCTGACCGGCATCATCTGGGCACTCATCTCATGTGTTCTGGTTCGTCGCAAAGTACCGAAGATGGGAATTGATGCGATGAGACTTGTTTGTAATCAGGATCGACATCTTTGCTTGCTCTTCAATCGAAGTCACTACGCCTCTTGCCCACTATGCAGGCACGTCTGATAGGGTGGTTTCTGGCGCAATACTTGCCGATTCTCATTGCCTTGCATTTGCCCTCAATTACCGCAGCTTGATCATCTCTACGCGCTTCCAAAACTCTCCCTCTTGACAGCAAGGAAGGTCAAGCTCCAAAGCTGGCGAATGTTGCTCTCAGTCGCGGTCAATGAGCCCAGCTGCTCAATCTGATAGCCGTTGTCGTATTTCCAACTCCACACCTCATGGCTTAGCTGGTCGCGGTTTGCGTCAATGGTATCCCAAAGGCTGTTGTACGCGGCAAGGACCTTGTCATAGACTGTGGAGTCTGCGCAGAAGTCTACGATGCTGAGTTAGCAATCACACGATGGAGAAACGTGAGAAAACAT